GTGAGACACCACTCACATGTGAATGTAAATGTGTTTTAAAGAGTCTCAACTATGTGTGTGTTAGTTCGTTTTTTTTGGACATTTAGGATGTTTCATAAAAACTCCAAAGCTGAAACAACTGCTTACTTTTATTTTACTCGAAAGATACAGGGATTTCCCAGCTTTCTGTATGTGCATTTGAATGCAGCATCAGCTTTCAAGGTGTGTGCGTGTTTGTGTGTGGCCTAGCATTACTATACTTGTGGGGACCTAAATCTGTTTACACAGTCACGTGTGGGGACTCGCTTCCCTTATGTGTGTGTGTGTGTGTGTGTGTGTGTGTGTGTGTGTGTGTGTGTGTGTGTGTGTGTGTGTGTGTGTGTGTGTGTGTTAAATGGCCTCCTATTCTACTGCAGCCTGTTTGTTTGTTTGTTTGTTTGATGAAATCTGGAGACATCATGTTGGAAACTTCCAGTCAAATGTAATCAGAAACAGGCATGACTACACTTTAACTACATTTCCCAGAATGCATTTCAAGAAGCCTGTGGGCACATGTTTGACCCGATGCTTGTTTTTGGCGTTAAAAGAAACAATGAAGGAGAGCATGGAATGCTTTTCGGTTTCGAAATGACTCTCCTTTCCTGTGAATCAACGTTAAACATGAGCTGTGAGTCAGGATCACTCTGAAGGGTTTCGGATGTTCCTCGCTTTGTGCAACATTTCTGTTTAAATCATGAAGACAGAGGTGAAGATATATCTAATCTTGTGTGTTGCAGCCTGGCTGAACTCGCTGTGGGTTTCCTGTCAGACGCTCTTTGTTCTGCAGCTTTAAGAATTCTAAAAACCACATTTAAAACAGATTTCACAAAGTTTAGGCCTCAATGAACAATACGCAGAGGGGACACACGTACACTCTCTTTACTTAAAGGTCCCATGTCACGCTTTTCTGGTTATTACCCGTCCCCTTGTGTGTAATGAAGGTTGTTCTGCATGTGAACGGTCTGCAGAGTCACAAACCCTCAAAGTACACCCTGTAGGGAGTAAAACTCTAACACAGAGAAGACCTGTCTATGCTGCCCCAGAACGCCTCGTTGGACATTTCTCTTTTTCCGTTGTTTGCTTCCTGGGTATATTGACGTATTTCGGGTATAGTGATGTAACGTGACGTAACGTGATGTAACATAACGTTACATCCGCAGAGCCGTTACGTTTGGACCAATCCGTGGACTTCCTCACTCACACACGCGAGGCAGGACGTTGGGAGGCTCGCTGCTGCGAGGAGCGGATACTGTGAGCTGGCTCACTGGTGTGGGGTCAGCGAGACACCGCGTAACTCAGCCTGGGCACACACACAAACTCCCAGCCAGGCTGCGGGTGTGTGTGTGTGCTTGGGCTGGTTTCGGGCCGGAACGAACGCCCCGGTATGACGTTATTATGGCTGGCAAACAAGCCCAGGGGTCTCCCTGACATTTCAGTTATATCAATATGTGTACAGTGGTCCTAATTTGTTTTAATTCTATCCTGGTTTTAAACTG